GACTACAAAAATTTAAAAAAAAAAAACTAAAGAGAGTATACAATATTAATCAAAATTAATATAAAATTTATTAAAATTAAAATTTTATATTTTTAGATAAAGTATTATGTGAAATAAGTCTCTGTGAAGCACTAACAAACAAAGCCTTAATCTTGTTTACAAGTTAGTAGAATCCATTTTCTTTTACATTTAGAAATCAAATATAAAGGATAACTATCTAATTTTCTTCTTTTATAGCACTGTAGTTTGCTCCTTTCTAAAAAAAATCCTAGCTCCAACACTAGGGCTAAGCTAGTAAAAACCACCACCACCTACACAAAGTTTTTGAATTGCAAAGAATAGAGAGCATGGATTGGAAGGCAGGAACCCCATGTTATTTATTTGGTAGGTGGGTTAATTTAACTTGGTGTTTTAAGAAGCTGTATGTATAAATGTTAGGTTTATTTATGAATTTGTTCTCTGAACTTTGACTCGATGCACTTTTTTTTGGTTATTGACTAAAATTTCACATGTCATAGTACTTTACTTTCATATCGTGCATTATTTTAGTCTCAAAATATTTTATGTAAAAATCTATGTGACATGCATTAAGTCAATTAAAAATAAAAAATTTTAAGAAAAGATGAGTGTATGGTGATAATTTGCTGTCATTGAGATCTCATTGTAAGAGGAATGGATTAAGAGAAGGAAAGAGAGGAAAATCTGAAGCTTTTTTTTCCAATTAACCAATTTTGTACATGGGAAAGAGATGGGTTCCACTAAATTTGTACACATCATTAAAACTTCAAAGAAAATTTAATTTTTTTAATCAACTTAACGGCCACGGTTACTTCCATTGGCGGAAGGATAAAAAATAGGTACACGACAAGTTCAAGACCAAAAAGGTGTAGCAAATTGTTTGAGAACCAAAAAGGTACATTGATGGCATTTCTCTTATGTGATTTATTGGTGACCACTGCAGTCCAAAAAAGCTGTCGGTGGAAAACACCAGACCAATAGTCGAACCTTACTAAAGAGTAAAGTGCTAACTTCTAACTCCTAACTCCTTATTCTTAACTATTGTTTTTGTCAAAAAAAAAAAAAAAAAAAAGTACATTGGTGCAAAGTTCATGGACCAAATATAAACATTAAACCTAAGTTTTACCAGAACTTAGTAAATTGATTTTCCTAGTACGCTTTTAGTTTGCCGACGATGCATCTTTTTTCGACTTGAGCCTTTCACTCACCTAACCTCTCTATGTCCTGTCTCTACATTCGTCTCCGTATATGATTGATCACTCTATATATCTTCTCCTCTGAGCCTCTCTTTGCATGCACTTCGATCCTCATACGTGGAGCATCCACCAAAAATGGTACGGTCCACTAAGTTCAGAGGCGTCCGCCAGCGCCACTGGGGCTCTTGGGTATCTGAAATCCGCCATCCCCTGCTGTAAGTTCCAAGCCAAAATGTTTCTTATCTCTAACCATCCAACAATGCTCTAAACAGGCCTGATGTTTAAAATGTTAGAGTTTGTTTTGTTTATTTATTTATTTTTAATAGAAAAAAAATGTTTTATTTATGGGGTACAAGGGTCAAGGGATATCCAAACCTATTTACACTTAGAGCCACTCATACCGACATATTGATCTCGTCCCCTCTTCTTTACTAATGTTACCTTGCAACATCCTTGTTGTAACACCTCGTGATTAGTCTTCCTAAAGAGATCAAGCATTTAAATAGTGAAAACTGTAACATGTAAATCCCATGTTGGGATGGAAGTATGAATATAATTAGTAGAGTTTAACAATCAACATGTAATTAATATAGTGTTGAAAATTTCAAATTAAAAGTCTCAAGTAGGGCTGTTAAGAAGTAAAATAACTAAAAAAAAAACACAAGAGCTACAAGCTCGACTCAAGCTTGATTCTTATGATAAATAAGTCAAGCTCTTATTCAATAAAAAAGTTAAAAAGCTTGAACTAGATCTTACATTCATACTTGTTAGCATTTAGTTTAGAATTAGAAATTATATTGCATATTTATTGTAATTTAAATATATAATAACTTATAAAGTTAACAAGATTAAAAATTTAACTTAAATAATTTACATATTTTGAATTTTTTTTATCACATTGGTACAAAAATATTTATGCAAAATGTAGAAAGTTTATAATTGAATGATTGATTATTAAAACAATTAGAAAGTATAAGAAATATGCTCTAATTCAAGCTCAAACACTCGCTTGCTCAAGTACTCGGGCTCATGGGTAAGCTTAAAATCGCTTGAATACTAGTGAGATTGAACACAAATTCAATCATTTTGAACTCAATAAATACTCAAATTCAACACAAATTTGAGTATTTAAGATAAGTTTGAGCACAAGTACCTAGATATTTTACTCAACTTAACTAGTTAACAACCTTATTCTTGGTTACAAAAAATTAGTACTCGATTATAAAAATATATGAAAAGGGCATTGCTCAATGGCGTAGTAGTGTATGGAGATGGCTTTGCGTTAAGGGGTGCATAGATTTAACTAGCTAGTTTCATCTCCATACTCTCGTTTTGTTTAAATTGATAATTGATTTGTATTGTGAATATGTAATATATTAATTTACTGAAAAGTTATCAAATGAGTTATGAATTGTAACTCGTACGTTTTTCAAATTTTTTTTGTTTATGTTGCAGGAAGAGAAGGGTATGGCTAGGGACTTTTGAAACAGCAGAAGAAGCAGCCCGTGCCTATGATATGGCAGCCATATTAATGTGCGGTCGGAACGCTAAAACAAACTTTCCGGTGTCCCTAACACCGGACGGCGATCCAAAGGGAAGCACTGAAAATTTCCCAATAACTCAAAACGAGCTGTCTGAATTACTCCATGCCAAGCTCCGTAAATGCAGCAAAGGGCCGTCGGGGCCGTCTCCTTCCTTGACTTGCTTGAGGCTTGACACGGAGAATTCTCACATAGGGGTGTGGCAGAAGCGGGCGGGGCAAAGCTCGAATTCCCACTGGGTCATGATGGTCCATCTCGGAAAAGGAAATGATAAACCTTCCCATAATGCTTTGCCTTCGACGACCCCGGGGCTCGCGGGGCCGGAAATGAAAGCAGAAATGGATGAAGAGGAGAGAATTGCTTTGCAGATGATAGAAGAGCTACTTAGCAGAAATAATTGCCCAAGTCCTTCATTTGAGGTGCAAGGAGAGAATATCCTCTTTATTTAGTCTCTCTAAGAAAATAAGTTTTTCTTTTCAGTCAGTCTTACGCTCATCAATCTAAGGTTATAAAGAATAAAAAATGTCGAGATTTATAGCGTTTTTATATTTTCTTATCGCAAAAGTGCACTCTATGTATTGAGGTATTGTTGGTACGGCCTCTGTACCAAGGTCTGTGCAATCTTGGTGATAATTAAAGTATTGTAACATGATTAACTGTTATGGGAATAAGGATCTGCACGACTGGTATAAAGGAGCTGCACTGCACAATTGTGCAAGAAAAAAAAAAGGGAAAGAAAGCTTGTGTGAAAAAATTATAAAATAATGTTACATTAAATTATATAACTCTTGCATTTAAATTTTGAATTGGATAAAAAATAATTTTAATAAAAAAATGTTATTTTTTATATAACTTATCATAATCAAATATATTATATATATATAAAAAAAAAAACTACATAAAGCCTTGAATTCCCTATACCGACTTCAAGAAAACAAATTTATTCTAGTAGCAATTAATTGCGGGATTAATTAAAAATATAACTCAATGGGCTTAATGGATGATCATGATAGTTTTTATTTTGTTATTGTTTTAAACATATTTATAAGAATTGAATTCGGACTGTTATTCAAAAAAAAATACATTTCAACGTAACTTTATTGCCACTAAACTTAAAAGCCAAATAGCATAGTATTTTTTCTTAAAGGTTTAAAATATATAAAATTTTATTAAAATTTTTTTATTAACTTTTTAATTAATGCAGAAACACAATGATTTTTTTTTGTCAAAATTTCGTTTGGTCCCACCTAAAAAAATTTCTGACAATGCCACCGCTACTGGAGGTTGGCACTAGCTACATTGTCCTGGCAGCCGATATTGCTTTACTGTGCCGGTCAGGACTCTAAATCGTGGTAAACTCTCCACCAATGCCCTGCAGTCGGGACCCTGATGACTTTATGTTCTCACCAGAACACAATAAGCATTATTGTGGGGCTCATGGAGATAACTAATTGTCTTATTAGTAGTGACCACTGGTGATCACCATAGAGAGATACAAACTTATAGGACATTGAATATATCGTTCATTATATATTTTAGTTGAGTGTATTCTTCAATTCCTCTCCACTCCTTTCCCCTCTTTTCATTTAAATAAATAAATAAATTAAAAAATCAAGTAAAAAGACTTTTTTCCTCTCTCTTGCTTTTTAGTGTAATTCTTTTGATGATTAAATAGAAGAATTTTTTTTTCTTTTCTCTATTAGTCTCAATATAAATATACTGTTTTGGTGGGCAATACTAACCCCTTCTTTTTTCTTTTTCTTTTTTTTATTTTTTTATTTTTTTTAATTTTAATATTTCAAAGACAAATTAAACATCAATTTATATATTTGAAGTACTCTATATGTTAACTCTTAAATCAGTAATCTAAGCATACCAAACCATCAATATATTAGAAATACATGGAAACAAGTCTAAAAAAAAAGAAATAGGTGTTTCAGACTTCAGACCCATTTTCACAAGTTTGAAAATAAACATCAATTGTAAGTCACTTAGAAATTTTCAAATCTCATACCCATGCTTTCACATACGATTTCACCTGGTAGTGTGAGGGTCTACTAATTTTCATTATATGTGCCAAGAATTGTTAACCAACTAATGATAATTTGAATGGTAAGAGAGGATAGAGCAATTAGACTGAACAAAATAATTGTCCCAACCAATCAGTGTGCTATTGTGATCTAAAAACTTACATAGTACATGTAAATGGAATCTTCAGCCCCTCACTAATTTATGTTTTTACATATATATGTAGAAGCAATTACAAATAAAACTAAACTTATATGGTCATAGATATCTAGTATCGTAGAGACAGATGCATGCAATAAAGCCCTTGA